TTGAGGGCCCGGGTTGTAGCACGTGGCGAATAACCCTGACCAGTTCTTCCCTTTCTTTTCGATCCGTTGACCCTTGTAAACATGCAGGAATTTTTTGGAGCAGAGAAAAGTTTAATCAATAGCATGTATCTTAACCATTCTAAAAGAGAAGGTTGTGAAACTAAATTATTATTAGCTATTAATAATACGATTATTATTAAGATTGTTATTATCATTATTAATGATAAAATCGTTGTTGTTAATAATATCATTGTTGATAATAGTTTTGCAGATTATATCAGTCTTATTGCAATTTAGAGTCTTTAATTCAATAAAATCATTGGATTTCCCTTTCAAGCTGAATTCATCAATAACAGCTTTGTTGTAAGATCTATGAGGATAGTGAGATTCATAATAGTTAACATAGTGGATCCACCAATGTAACTTAACAGCTTGGAAAGCATGAATAACTGCAATATCTTGAGAAAATACTAAAGCATTCATTAATCCTAAGATGAAAAGATTAGTAGATAAATAAAATAGTTATAACAGATTAATCAAAAAGTATAACCAAATAAAAGAAAAAAAAATACAAAACATATACCATATATGTAACTTGAAGTGACATGCCAACGAAACAAAATAAAAATAGAGGATAGGATAGTGCACGATTAATATAAGCGTAGGTTTCAACGAAAGAGTTACAAAACTTAGCTATCAGTGGCACCACAGGATACAAGATAACCCTTCTGACAACAGAAGTAATCACAGTCTTATTAATTAAGGTGGGATAATTGGATATATGAGTAGTCGAATTAGAATCAAAACCATCATCAATTTCTTTTTTCACAAATCTAAGTTTTTTAATAACCATAATAACAATGATCGCACAATATATGATGGATGCATATATCCAACCGAAGAGAGTAGCCCATTGCCATATTATGTTATATTCTTCACCCGAACCACGATACCAGCAACTTCTATAATAAGTATTAATAAATATGAATTTATGAAATAAAAGATATAATACGTATTTGAAATAATAAATAAATAAATATAAATATAAATATATATATATACATCTATATGAACATATATATATAAATAACATATACATACTCTTCGGGATTATCAT